TACGAGGCACTTGGTCACATGACGCGAGCGTCGCCGGCACCCGACGGTCTGGCTCGTCTGTGCTACTTACCTCTCCACGGGGTTATCAAGCGCACCGACAACTCTGCCAAAATTCGGGTGGTGTTCAATGGATCATCACGCCTCGCATCTGGGGAGTCGCTGAATCAGCACTTGTTGACTGGCCCGAATTTACTGCCGCGCCTGTTAGACGTGGTGCTACGCTGGAGGCTGCACGAGTTCGCGATGGTAGCAGATATCGAGAAGATGTATCGCCAAGTCCTTGTGCACCCGGACGACCAAGACTTGCAGCGAATCTTGTGGAGAAGCCAGGACGACGAGCCTCTGCAAGAATTCAGGTTAGCAACGGTCACCTACGGGTTAGCATGTGCACCTTACCTGGCGATACGCACAATCCGGCAGCTAGCGGACGACGAGGGGCATCGATTCGCCCAGGCGGCAGCGGTCCTCCGTAGGGACATCTACGTGGACGACATCCTGACTGGAGCCGACTCTCTCGAGGAAGCAAGCGCCATCCGCCAACAACTATCCGCGCTCTGCACGGCGGGCGGATTTCCGCTCCGAAAGTGGTCAGCTAATCAGAGCGAACTGTTAAGCGACATTTCGCCGGAACATCGACAGTCGCTGACGAGCCACTCCTGGGAGGCGGATGTCGGACACTCAACCCTGGGGTTGCAGTGGCATCCGAGAACGGACACGTTTTCGTTTCAAGTCCGGCCCGTCGAGATCGAACGCGTCACGAAGCGCACAGTGTTGTCTCAGACAGCCAGGCTGTTTGACCCACTTGGGTGGCTGGCGCCGGTAACTATCAGCGCAAAGATCCTGATCCAATCTGCTTGGCTCCAGGGTTTGGGCTGGGATGACCAAGTTGTGGCGGCGAATGAGTGTGCATGGCGACGGTTCCAGGAAGAGCTGCTGGGACTGTCTGAGATTTGAATCCCGAGATGGCTGCACACGGGTCCAGGCGCGGAGGTGGAGATCCACGGGTTCTCGGATGCCTCAGAGCGAGCGTACGCAGCTGTTGTCTACGCCCGCACTACTCGGGGAGGAAGCGTCAGCGTCTCTCTCTTGGTGGCCAAGTCAAAGGTCGCGCCCATTCGTCAAATCTCCGTGCCGCAATTGGAGCTGTGCGGCGCGGCCATGCTTGCCAAGTTGGTGCGTCACGTGCAGGTCACCACTGGTCTGGCCGGCACTCGCACTGTGCTGTGGACCGACTCGACCGTAACGCTCGCATGGATCCGCGATCACCCGTCACGTTGGACAACCTTCGTGGCAAATAGAGTGTCTCAGATCCAGCAGGACCTTCCGGATGCCCAGTGGAGACACGTCCGAGGAGCGGACAAC